GCTGCTTGCAGTTAGTCTGTTGCTATTTATCACACAGCCTCCAGGAAACATGGTACGCTTGTGAGAAATCAGTGTGTCACTGTTAAAAATACAGTATTGACCTAAGAAGGTCTTGGTAACCCCCAGGGGTCCCCAGACCACTGTTTGAGAACCAGTGCACAATGACTTCCTAATCCTGGGATCCCACCATTTTTCTTTCCCTTTGTCCCCCCTTTCCCCAAAGCCCCTCAATCAGAGGAAATGTTTCAGTCCAATGATGGCAGCTTCCTTCTCTCTACTGTGTATTTTTATTTTCTCTTACCTTTTAGGCTTTCCCTCCTAACCTGTCCTTGGCTGTGATGTTTATCTTCCCAAATTCCATACCTGCCATAAATATCACTTGTTGTCCAACTAGAGGCCTACTGGGGCTTTTGATGAAAGAAAGAAAGGATCCTTGCTTTTGATGAAAGGAAAAGAGGTCAAGCCATTTAACTCAGAGGTGCCTTCAGCCTGAGGATGCAAGCCTCATTTCAGCAGCATATCCTTAAGTAAAATCTCCCCTGACCCTCATCCCAGCAGTTTTTGCCCCTCATCTCCAGTGCTCACGTAGATGCAGCACAGCATGTACTGCCTGGAACCTCAGTGGCAATGTCTCTCCCCACTAGCTGTGAACAGGTTAAGGGCAGGGGCTGAGTCTAGTCTGCTGTGGCCCAGCACCATAGAGGCACAGGGCTCTGGTGGTCATCTCAGTGCCCACTGTCCATGGGATTTCAAGTTCATTAGCATCTGCTTAGGGCCTTTATTCTTAGAGTTGGCTCTGGGAAATCCAGCTCTATTAAGCAAGCTGTCTATATGGTTGTTCTCATAGTTGTTTTCTGTGCTCTGTTGTGTAGGTAGGCCACACTGACCAGAACTTTGGTAATTTTCACTGTAGGGCTAACAAATGTTTCTTTTCTGTTTAGTTCTCCAAGTGATAAGAAGTCTTTTTGCTCAATTGAAGGAGAGTGGAATGGTGTAATGTATGCAAAATATACAACAGGGGTAAGAACCTCATCTTGCCACTCGCTTTTATTGAGTTACAGCCTGTCCCTTACTCTGGCGTCCTTCTTCAGGAAATGTAATCACTGAGGCCAGCTCTAATGCCCTCTCTCCAGGGCAAGCCTTTTCCTTCCCCCACCTCTACCTCAACAGTACAGGTGGTAAATGATGTTTACTTCCCTCTGTCAAAACACTTAAGAACACAGGCATACCTTGGAAACATTGCAGGTTTGTTCAGGTCCAGACCACCACAGTAAAGCAATAATCACAGTAAAGTGAGTCAAATGAAGTTTTTGGTTTCACAGTGCATTATCAAAAGTTATGTTTACACTACAGTGTAGTCTGTGAAGTGTGCAATAGTATTATGTCTAAAAAACAATGCACATACCTTCACTTGCTAAAAAATGCTAACCATCATCTGATGGTTACTTACTTTAGTAAGTCGAAATCACTGATCACAGATAGTGACACACAAATCTTGCAAGAATTACCAAAATGGGATAGACACATAGAATGAGCAAATATTGTTGGGAAAATAGCACCAATAGATTAGTCTGACACAGGGTTGCCACAAACTTTCAATTTATGAAAAATGCAGTATCTGCAAAGCATAATAAAACGAGGTAAGCCTGGAATGTATATAACAATGCTTGGCACACAGTAAGCCGGGAAGCGTTAGCTGTATCATCAGAAGGTGTGGTATTTCATAACATGAAGTAATTTGTGTGTGTTTGGGTTCACAATTTGATTTGTGTAAGAATTGAATTGACTTCCTGATACTAGGGATACAGAAGTAAGATAGTCCTTGTCCTCAACAAACTTGTGAGCAATACCTAATTAAGGAAGGTGGTAGGTATGGGATTAAAAGGAGAAGCCAATAAGCTAAATTTTGGACATGAAAGAATTTGAAATGTAAAATGCACTTCATTACTAGTCCTTTATGTGTCTAGCTTCCCAAAAGATTACATCCCAAGCAGGTGGCACATAGCCACGTTGAAAACATCTGTTGGATTTAAGCCTCTACCAAGACTTCAGACACACCACTATATTTTAGGCTGCAGATTGCTTATGAGTGAAATTTGTTGTCTACATCTTCATATGTGGGATTTGATTATTAAATCTATTAACTAAAGTTTGGGAATGAAGAACTGACTTTTCCTCTTAGAACTGTTTGAATAAAACATCTGCTTCCCTCTTCTTTTTTCTAGGAGAATGCAGTTTTTATAGATACTAAGAAGTTGCCTATAATCAAGAAGAAAGTGAGAAAGTTGGAAGATCAGAATGACTATGAGTCCCGCTGGTAAGGAGACCACCTCACTAGAGCTATTGCAGCAGTGCCCTCTGCTGGCCAGGCGGAGGCACAGGCTGGTCTGGGAGGCAGTACAGCACAGCCTAACAGCACAGCTTAGATTTGAATGCCTGGGTTCCTGTGGAGCGCCACCACTTTACTAGCTTTGTAAACTGTAACCTAGCCTCTCTTTTTGCCTTCTTCCCTGAAGTGGGAACTACCTCACAGTTGGTGAGGACTAAGTGAGATCACACATAGTATATATGACACTTGGGACACAGTAATACTCAGTGTACATTGGCTTATCACCATCATGGAGATTTATAAGAGAAGGCAGTGAGCTCCCAATTGAGAGGTATACACACAGCACCTTTAGGTCTTTTCTTGTTTAATTTTAATCCCCAAGTATTTCAGTATGTATTTCCAAATGACTTTTTGAAGACACTAACTATAATATCATTTCTATGCCTAAATATCTGTCAATTCCTTAACATCATCAAATATCTACTTGTTACTCAATTTTCCTTAAGTGTCAAAAGTCAGTTTTTTTCTCTTCCCATATCCATGATAAAACTGGGATCTTTAGTTGTATGATGAGTCAGGCACTAAAGTTCTTTGTTCAGCATAGTAAGGGATTTAAGTGAAGGTAGGGGATCTTACAAATCATTACCCTGCCGTTTTTAAAAAGTTTTTAACAGCTTGGCTGGACTACCTGACTATAAATGGAATCTAGAAATTTATTCTCTGCTATTCAACGCAAGGGGATATTAGGCATGGCCAGTTCTCTAGCGCATAGGAGTCTTCACTTGCAGAGTGACATATTTGGACAAGATTTGTCATCATTTTCCAAATCTCTTACCCCTTAACATCTCTGCAGTTCACCTCTTGACCCTTACTCTATCTATTCAAACTGTTTTCTCAAGATCTCATTGTTAAATCCAAGAGTTTTTCTGAAGTGGAACTTCTCAGCTCCTCTGCTCTAACCCTTTGAACTTACAGTAAAGGACACTCAAGCCCTGGACACCCCCAAAGCTGCACAAGTAGGGGTAGAGCCAGGAGTATAATACTGGGTCTCTGTTCTCACTGCTCTCTACTCTGTTGTCCTTACCTATATCCAGCTTTCTGCCCATCCTTTATTTCATCCTTTAGCAACTAGCAGTGGAATCATCTGAGTCCATTTCTATTCTTTACTCCAGTGCCCTGCTGCCAGTTTAAGGAGATATAGTCTGTGAACTACAGCACTTAAAGCCATTTGACTTACTACTACTATGCTACATTCAGGGTGGCTCTAGCCTCTCCCTCTCAAGATTGCTAACTCTGTCCGTGTAGTACTCAGCACTTTGACTACTTTTCTCTAGCCTTTGGAAGGATGTCACCTTCAACTTAAAAATCAGAGACATTGATGCAGCAACTGAAGCCAAGCATCGACTTGAAGAAAGACAAAGAGCAGAAGCCCGAGAAAGGAAAGAGAAGGAAATTCAGTGGGGGACAAGGGTAAGCTTGCTTTGGGGAGCTGCCCCAACCTCTCAACTGCCGTCCCCCATACCCTGAGCTGTAACTCATTCACTCAATGAATGTTGAAGCTAAGTACGAAACAGTTTTAAATTAAATTAGCATAGTGATGAACAACCCTGGTCCCCACCTGAAGTTCATTTCAGTGTAATGAGGGGAGAAGACATAAAACAGTTAAGTATATTATAGAAGTATAAAGCAAGTGTATAACTGAATTCTCCCCATTTCTCTTACAGTTATTTCATGAAGATGGAGAATGTTGGGTTTATGATGAACCACTACTGAAACGTCTTGGTGCTGCTAAGCATTAGGTTGGGAAACGCAGAGTTTATACCTGATGCCCAGGGCAGTAGGCATAATTAAGCAACACTCTTCCTTTGGGAGAACCTACTCACTCCCTTCTTATTGCAGTGGTTCCTATCTCAGGGATACTGGACTTTCTGATGCAGATGAACAGTTAAAATGAGAAAAGCTTCCCTTTTTTCCTCTTCTGTAGCAGTTACAATTTTGACATCAGTCCTGAGAAAAACTTCAGGTTTTGAAAACAAGATGTCTGCTTCTTTTCCAAACCCCATCCTTTGAAAAGCATTTATAAATCCCAGTCTCAGACTCTGCATTCTAGTACTGCTGCTGAGATATACATCTGTTTAAGTTCATATAATCTTGGGTTCTATATACATATATATATATATATATATACACACACACACACACACACACGTACGTATATACCTGATGCCAGATTTTTCATAAGTACTCCATCTACTGTAAATAAATACTGGTTCCTCTGAGTTTTAGAAAATTAGTGCAATGTATTATAATCAAGTGCTGGGAAATTTCACAACCTCACCTACAATAACTTTGTTTTGGATTTGAACTATTAAATTGTATCTAACTGGACTACAGTTTAATTATACTCAGTGCTTCTTAAGGCTTCATAAAGTAATTTTTCCAACCTTTTTTTAAAATGTGTTTCTTTTATTCTCTTTACGGTTAAACCTGGAGCCAGTTATTTGCAATCTTGAACATAGGAGTTAGCTAGCTTTTCACAAGGACTCCGCTGACATAATAGAGGATCCATCCTTTTCCTCACCCTCCCCTTACAGTTATGTGTTTGGCTCCCACCATGCTGTTCTCCAAAGTGTTCATTGAACTTTATATAGCACACATAGGGCTCCCAACATTTTATCCAAAAATATTTTATTGCTGTAGAGGTTTGGGAAGAGTATTTTTACAGCTTCCTACCCCATGCTGAAACAAAATATAACAAAAGAGTGCCACAGCAGCAAATGGCTCATTCTGAAGGGCAATACATAACTATCTTTATTTAAAAATACATTTAAAAATCAACAGGTATTAGTATTAGCACCTAGCATTTAGGTACTAAGACATCAGTTACATAGGGCCTTACAAACTGCTCCTGCCACCCTGCTAATTCCACTGCCAGCTGCTACAGTAATCCTCAGTTTGTTAGTCACAACAGAAGACAGGGCTGGGGAGGGAGTCGATCAGATTCTATGATGTCAGTGCAAAAATTCAGTGGAAGCCCTAAGGCAGTAGTAGTGTAACTTCATAAAATACAAACACATTTTTAAAATACACAATGCTTCAGGCCAATGAGACTGCAGTTTATTTGACTATTTTATGGTAGGGGAGAAGGTTAAGTGTTGATGTGAAAGCCCTAATATCAGTAATGGGGATGGTAGAATCTGCCAGCAGAGGAGAGGATGACAGGTAGGTCAGCTGCATCACTTCACAAGAAGAGTTTGAATCCTCACCAGAAGGGGTACCATCCTCTTCCAGTTCATACTTGCCAGATCCAACAACCTGGATGAGGCCAAAGACATAGCAACCCAAACTCACTCAGTGAATGGTAACGGCTACAAAAACTCTGGAAAGCTGCAGCTTTCTTAACCATACTCACATGAACGCTGAGCATTTTACTTCCCAGTCCTCTGTGAGCCTTGAACCAGTTGACAAGATCTGATTTTGAAAATGACTTCAGTGCTTCAATCTTACAGAGGGAAGGGAAGAGAGGAAAAGAAAGCAAGCTATAAAAGGCTAGCAATGCACTTTCTGGAAAGAGTTCTTAACACCCTAGGCAGACCATTTGATTTTTCCAAGTCTCAACTTACCCCAAGAAAAGGCTGGAAATAAGTATGTTACACAACCCCTCAATGTTACATAGCAAAGATTAACCCTCACAGATAAGCAGGAGAGGGTCGCAGATGGTGTGATTACGGCAGAGCACTATACAGAGTCAAATCTGTCACCACTTTAATGTCGCTGCTCAGGTACATGCTAACTGTGTACTCTGGCTCGTACAGTAACTATTGACACGTGAAGAGAACTGTACCTGTCCTTCTAACAGGAAAACTTGAGTGTCTTAGAGCTGAGCTGAAACCTTGTTCAATAACCCTTTTGCCTCAGTGTCCCTTGGTAATCCACCACATAGTGTTATATTATCAGAAAGAGCCCTGGCTTGTAGGACCCAGAGCTCTTTTCTTGGGTTTTATTACTTTGTGCTAGAAGTTGTCAAAAGACCTGCACCCAGAATCATTAAATCCAGAGAAGGAACTCCATAAATACTAGTTCTTAATTTTCTTTAAGCAGAACGCTTTTTTTCCCCTCCACATACCTTGTAGTGAACTTCAATATAATACAAAAATGGATTTGCTCTGATTGAAATTAGTGATGTTGGCTGTGGGAGGGGTGGTAAAAATGAGCAGCCTGTTCAGCCACCTGAAGTGCTAGAGCCAGTCTTGGAAACTCAAAGATTTGATTAATCAAGTCAAGGAACAGGCAAGTAAACCACATGATACTGATTTTCTTGGAACTGCAATTCCTATCAAATCACAAAATCCTGTCAGAGCCATCAACATGAAAGCCATTTTACTACCTCATGGGCAAGGCGGTCGAACAGATACTGCTGTGTCACCACTTCATTCCAGTTCCTGTCCACCTCCTCCCCGAGGTGGGTGTCCTCACACTCCTTCAGCTTGATAAGAGCTGTGACCTGTTTCCACCGAAAAGACCATCAGGCATGGCATCACACCAGTTCCCCCAGAACACACCTGGTCCTTCCCATCTGCTCTGTGATGACTTGATAAGGTCCTGTCCATTGGGACCCACCAGCATGAAGAGGAAGGATGAAACTAGGACATTACGGTCAGATGAAGGTGGGGCTACAAAGCTCAAAAAATGGCCAGCACATAGCACTGAGACTAGTGTGTATTCTTGAGGGATGTGGGGCCAAGGAACCAAAGACCAAAGAAAACAGTTACCTGGGTGTTAAATGCATCCTCAGTAAGGTTCTTGATCTTCTCCTCAAAGCTACAAAGAAACTCTTCTATTTTCTTATCAACAACTTCCGAACTGAAACAAAACATCATCTTCAATTAAAAGTCATCAGAGACCTGGTCTCAAGCAGAAGGCAATGGAGACTTGGAGCTAAGGCATGTTTTCAGGAAAGAGACTGAAGTCCACTCTTCCCAGACCTTCATACTCTCCCTTGAGCTAAAGGAAGAGTAGAGAACAGGGAAGAACCTACCCTACCTGCCTCTCCAGCCCATTTCCTGGTATCCTCAGTACAGAAGCAGTGAAGCCATGCCTGACACCCTGAAGTGGAGAGCCCAAGGCCCTGGTCTTGCTTTAACAGGAATGCCAGTGAGGCACCTCCACCTTGCTTGTCCCTCAGGTCTGCCCAGAGATACGGGCAAGCCATGCACAGTGGCTACAGGACATGTGAGGCAAACCTCACAGGATCACTAGGACCACTGATCAGTCCTGGATAAGGCCGTCTGTGAACTGGCCTCCCTCCTGTAACCCCTGCAGCTGTAACCAAATGAAGCAAACCCTGTTTGGTCAGTTACTTGAGGTTTAATGAGCACGTACAGCTCCTACTCTCTGTGCCAAGAACAATAGTAGCAGTTGGCCCCACCTACTCACTTGTACTTAGTTGCCTGAGTCCCCACGGTGACGGAGAATCCTAGGATTCCAGATGTGTTCCTGCAGGTAGGGTAGACATGGTACCTACAGCCAGAGTGAGAAGATGTGAGTGAAAAGTTCAAGTGGTCATCTGGACCCTGGCCTCAGAGGTGCTAAAGATGAGTGTGAAGGATATCTGCATATCCTTCCTGGACCTGGAGGTCCTGAAAGAATATCCATAAATATGTATGCATCTGTTTCATTCTCAGGTTAGGGCATCCACTCCTTTCTTTGAGGATCACAGGCTAGCTTTCGCTCTTGATAATCCCGAAATGTGACCAAACAGAACCTGATGATGGTCAGAAACACAGATTCCAGAAGCTTTGACCTGTAAGTATGACTCTAAGCCATGGAAGGACCAAGAGCTCTGAGGGTAGTCAGGATAGCTGACAAACCTCAGCCTACAAAGTAAGCCCCAGACTCTTACTTGAGCTCAGTGCTTTTGCCAGCAGACTTACCCAAGGGTCTGCTTGGTTCGAAGGAAGTCGAAACAAGGCTCTTCCATGTGCATCTGTAATTCAACATACTACCCATCAGCCCAACTCCCCCTGGTAGAGAAACCTACATTTCTTCCCCCAGAAGTGTTCCACATATCCCCAAAGTCCACCCTCCCTTACTGCCTTTTTCCTAAATCACCCAGGGCCCCTGTCCATGCTCACATACCATCCCACCTACTAATCACAGGTCTCTGACCACTCCCGAGCTCCTAGTGCCCAGGCAGAAAAAAACCCATCCTCATGCTGGGGCAGGGGCTTCTGAACACCGTGACTCTTATTTATACAACTTACCACAAGCAGCTCCATAAGAGTGTATTCTTTCAGACTCCTGGTACCTGACTGAGAGGAGAAATGAGACCAACTCAAAACCCAATGGCTTTCAGGCTTTTTAATGATCCCGCTATTCTTGGCAATCATTTTTTCAGGCATTCTTCACCAAAGAGAAGTGATCACACCCTCTACTGCCAAAATTTCCACAATTCTGTTTACACATCTGTCTTTCACTAGACTGAAGGTCTGGTCTGACGGCATGAATCGTGCTTGATCATTTGTATTCTCAGTCCAAGCACAGAACTGCAGACAGACATGGAGGTGAATCCAGTAATCCCTAACCTGCCACCTCCTGGCCAAAGGACCCAGAAGACATGACCTAAAATCAAGTACTTGGCAGTTCAAGGTCCTACGGAGGAAATACCTGGGGATCAGTAAAGGGTATCTAGACCTATCCCTCAGATGGAGAGAGATAAACAGGAGCTTCTGCAGCCACACAGCAACACAAAAACCAGTGGATAATAAAAATGCCTAAGAGGCAGATGCCACACTGGAAGACCATATCCTAGCTGTCCTGGAGACTGGCAAAATAATGCTGCTCAAAAGGGAGAGCAGGAGGCCAACAAGCGGGATGTTGCTAGTGCATCCCTCGGTCAGTTCTTATGTCTCCTGACACAGATGCATTCCTATTCCTTCCAACCTCGCCAGAGGAAGAGACTAAAGCCCGTGTGCTCTTGCAAGCCCTGTTTAGTTAGCAATGGAGATTCCCTGTTTGCCTCTAAAAGGACTGCAACAAAGCCAATCAAAACTATCAAGTGCTGTTCAAAATGGTCTCTGGAAAGAGGGAAGTGATTCCCTAAAGAAAGCAGCTGGTATCGGAAGTTAGTGCTAAGAGGTGATCAAATAGAAAGCAACTCAACAGACAGGCCTTACAATATGACCTTAAACTAGGAAGTACTGCTATGGGTTTTGAGCAGTCAGAAGCACTGGAAATGTGGACAGGGCTAAGCAAGGCCAGACCATATCATTAATGAAGTTTGGTCATTTCAGCTTCAACTACATTGAGAACCTGGAAAAAAACTCCCAAGAAAACCCCACAAAAAAACAAACTTGCAGAAAAAAAGAGGGGAACAAGCTCTGCAGACAAGCCAGCCTCTAGGGCAAGACTCAGGCCCAGCACCAGAAACAGTAAAAGGACAAGGTGATAATCAGGCCATGCAGACCTGCCCAAAGCTCAGACCAGGGATCTTCACAGGGTCTGACAGAGGAATGGCTCCCTCATGCAGAGAACCCAGGTCCACAGCAGAAGTCAGCAGAGTCCCAGAGCTCAGGATATTGGAGATCAGTCTGGACAGGTGGGCTACCCACAGGCTAAAGTAGGCTATGGGCCAGCTAAGATCATTGTAGAGCTCTTCCTTATTTCAGCCCCATCCCACCCCTCCAGAATAGTGTGGAAGGAACACAGGATCTGAGGACAGAAGAAATAAATTTGAGTCACAGCTGTTAGGACCTCAGCAAAGGGACTTGACCTCAGATTCATCATCCATAATATACAGTTGATAAATCTCCTAGGAGCTCCGAAACCTTCAATTATGACTCTGATAGTAATTCTTTTGCTATATATTGACTGCTTAGCTATGTTTACTTTTGTCTTTTTTAAAACTTCCCTTTTAGCAAATGTCCTCCTGCTGCTCGGGGTTCTATCAATACATTGTTTCATCAGGAGTGTGTAGGAATTTCCAGCCACACTTCAGTCTCTGTCCCTCTGGACTAGTGGTTGGGTGATTAAAGAAACACTGTGATTGAAAAAGGATCCATTTCACTGACAGGAACAATTTTTAAATGCAGATTGCTTTAAGAGGCCAGTGACCCTAAACATAAAACAACAGAGATAACTGCAAAAAAGGCCTTAAAGGTACAGGGACAGTATTCCCAGGTATTCTGTATCTTCCACCAGGGCTTAGTGCCCCTAAGGTGCTTAGCTGGGGGACGGCTGAGTGGAAAGGTGCCAACTGACCTGGTAGTACACAGTGACTTCAGAGTTGGCATCCCCCTTGTTCAGAGCTCTCACTTTGCATATGTGGTGGCCCCTGGGCAGCTCTACCACCTGGAACTGCACCGGCATCTCCTGCCCCAGAGGCGTGAAGTTCAGCTTGCTGCAAAAGAGTCAGTGTGGGTCACTGAGGCAGTGCCTTCATCCTCCTACTCCAACCAAACACTGAAGAAGGGGTCAGGCCTTCCACAGACCCTCCTGAATTGCTTTGTTTACATAACTATCCTCAAGAAAACCTAGCACAAAAAGCTTCTCCATTGTGGATTTAGTAACAATTGAGTTGTGGCTTTTGGCCCTCCTGCTGGTAAGGACACACAATCCCTATAGAGAAAAAAATGAATACTCACTCAACAACATATTTCAGGAAATCCATAGATTCCTAGTAGGCAAAAGAGGAGAAAACAATTACATCAAGCTTTTCTGGTTTTGATTTCTCCCAGAACCAATATCAATATTCTGACTGACTGAGAAGCCCTGGATAGCATTAGGAAAGCAGATAATAGTCTTGTCACCCAAAATGCTGGGCAAGTCATTCACAGACTGGATGCATCATTCACAGATCTGATATGTCTACTGAATACTCTTCTGGTCTCCCAAGGCACTCTGTTTACCTGCACACTGTGGCACTTTCCCCACTGTATCAAACATAATTGTTCGGTTTACCCCCCTAGTCTGTGCCCTGTATGACAGCTGCAGCTGTGCATGAGAAAGCTCATACACAGCAGAGCACAGAGTAACGGGTACATGAACACTGAATGAATGCTGCAAGCCCCCCACTCCCCCACTTCTTAAAGAACTTCTGTTCTTTAAAATGAGAGAGAAGTGGAGGGGTCAGCTCATCTCCACAGTTACCTGGAGCAATTCATGGTACAAAGTTCTCTGGACCAAAAGGACCTCTACCCAGTACTCCCACTGTGCTCAGAAAGGCAAGTAGCTATTCCTACTATTTTCTATGTGGGTTGAAGCTTTTAAACTTCTTCCTGTGTGTAGGCCAGAGACGAACGCTGGTTTTGGGGTTGGGGAGAAAAGACTGAGAGGAAGTGGGGAGGACAGCAGCCCATCTCAAGAGTGGCCATTTATATATTCCATCAAACGTCCAGTCCTGAGAAAATGCGAAGGCTACGCAGGGAGATGGTCAACAACCAAACATTTGAGGGAGAGTCCCAAATAAGCACTCGGCTGGAAGAGGCCTCAGAGAGTCACAAGGTTCCACAGACACATCCAACTCACTATGTATAAGAACAAACCCTTCATCTGCCCCCAAACCTACTATTCCTACTCCTCTGCCAACCCATTGGTTCAAGCAAGAAATTTGGACATCTTCCTAGACCCCCCCCACCCCGCTCCCTCACCCCCACACCCATTCACGGAGCTGTGGCCATCCTCTATACCTCTTCATTTCTAAGGCACTTTTTTTTCACATATTTTGCCTAACCTCAGACAGTGTTTATTGTGGCAGAAACACAAGTTTACCATCTTGACCATTTTTAAGTGCACATTTCCAAACTGTTATGTATATTCACATTGTGAAACTGAACGCCAGAACTTTTTCATCTGCAAAACTGAAAACTCTATACTCATAAAACAACTCCCCTTTTTCCCTCTACCAACCCACAGTAACCACCATTCTACTTTCAGTTTCTGTGCCTTTGACTACTCTAGACACTTCATATAGTGGAATCATACTTTATGTCAACTGGTCTCTGGATTTTCTTAATCACAAATTCTTTTTTGAATCCTTCAGTGATTCTACATCTACTACAGGATAAAGCCCAAGATCTCAGCTTGGCTTATTAGCTTGACATACAAGTTCTGCCTAAGTATGCAAATGTGTGTGTTTATATCCCTCACCACTCCCCACCTCCCACTTTAATTTCTAAATTAAACTGTGGTTTCCACAGTCTTGGACATCACCAACACTGTATGTTTACAAACCCATCCACTCAATGTCCTGTTACCAGGAGTCTCCTTCATAAGAAAGTCTTGCCCATATCGTAGGGGTCGTGCTGTGACAAAGCCAAAACTACTGAGCTTCCCCTTTAGGCAAGAACTAAAGTAATTCCAGAGCCCACATCAGCACTCAGACCTGGCCAGGAGCAACAGAGCACCTCACACTCACTGTGCTTGTGACATTTCCTTGTACCAAGCCTTCAACAAAGAGCTGGGATTTGAATTCTTTGACAAAGCTCAGCAGAGACTCAAGGGAAAGGCCATCCATCAATGCTCGGTACTTATCAATCATAGACCAACGGGCATATTCCAGGATTAAAAGCCGCACATCTCTGTACAGAGGACAGAAAATGAAGTTTTGTTGTAAGGAATGACTCTTGAGGGTAAAGATTTGGTTAAGCTTCTATAGATGATATATTCTCAAGGAGAGAGACTTTGTATCACAACTTAAGATACGGAAACAATGTCATAATCACCAAAAAGCATTTAAAATTGCATATACAAATTTATACATAGATCTGCTCACTGGTATAACTCACTTATCTCAGTTGCAAAATAAAATATTTCATGTAAGTTGCCAGATGAGTCACATGCCAATTTAGAATTATTACTATTTTGATGTGAAACCTTACTAACATTCTGTTAATGGGGGTCACCATTATGGATATCTATTACTGCAATGACAATAGAGTACAGGTAGTGGTTCCAGGTCAGAATCAGACTAACCCCTGTCCTTCAACTGCTTCCCCACCTCCCCACACTAAACTGCTTGAAGTTGGCAAGTTAGCTAACATCTGTGATCTAATTTATTTATTTGTAAAATAGGAGAAATAATGGCAACCGTGACAGGGTTTTGGTGAGAATTAAATAAAACAAATATACGTGAAGTTCTTAGATCTAGCACATTAACAAATCTTCAATATAGATACTCTAATTTACCACATTTTAATAAAGTAGTATTGAGGAGTTAACTGATACACAAGGCTATTTTTCATCAGATCAATAGTTTGAGACAACTCTCCAACTTTTACTTGGTTAAGTTTTTGTGACTTTTTGTGACCAGATTTTCAATTATTACATCTCTGACTCTGAACTGTTCTTTCCCCTACTTTTGCTCATTATAACTGTCAAAATCAGGGCTCCTAATAAAGTTGTGCTATTTGTTTACCATTTACAGATGCCTACCCAACAAGGAGGTCAGGCAGGGGCTTACAAGGCATGTGCACAAAGGGCTGTGCCTGCTCAAAGGTGACAATTCTCTCCCTCCCACCTGCTGAAGGAGGGTACACCCAGGGGGTACTTTCTTCTGGCTCACACAAAGGTACCCAATAGGCTACCATTAGCCCCGGACAAAAGCAGGCTCTGGAGAAAGGCCCAAGGGTTGCCTGTTGGTGAGGGAAGCCTTATTATACAGACTGTCCAGAAGCTTTTTTTGCTCTCTTCTGGAAACTTGGTTGAATTCTAGATAGTTGCAGTTGCTACTTAAATGATATATTAAGCAGTTTAACTCAGCTTCTTATCACAATATCCAAGACACTAAAAATCACCAGTAAGAAATTTTGGGATACACTTGTGACAAAGTCAGCACTTCTTTAACTGTCATTTACTTAGAAACTGGAAAAAACACCCTTTTTTACCTTTAACTTCTAATTAAGTACAAAGGCTGCTTTCAGTCCTACATACAAACAGCTACTTAAGCTGGGTTTAGAAATCCTGTGGACTGCTTTCCTACACCACAGCACAACTCTAATGTGTGAAAATAAGCACTGAAACTATAGCCTCATTCCCCACACCCACCCTTAGAAGGAAAATACTTTCAGATTATAAACTAATCTCAAGGATACCCACTTGGCCAGAGTCTCAGGCTTGATAAGGATGTTAAAGTAGGTCTTCTTCAACTGCTCAGTTATCATTGTAAAGACAGCTGGTGTGGAACTAAACTCTGCTAAGTAGTCAATAATGAGCTGAAACAGTAGCTGAAAAGAAAAGAAAGAAGAACTTTTAAGTGGAGAAACATGAAAATCCACTAAAGTTTAGGAAAGGGAATGTCTCCTGTTGTTTTTCTTTCAGGAGCCCAGCATGGTAGTAGGCATTGTGGGAGATAAAAGAGAAGTACTGATGACTCAAATATCAGCGTCAGGGGCTAACATTCTTAATAATTGTTAAATTTGGAGCAATGATTCCCTTTTTTTGTTTTCGTAGTTTTCCATAGGTATTCTTAAAACATTTTTCTTTCCAAATGAGTTTAAAAATAATTTTATCTAGCATCCCTACTGTCCCTAAATGTGACTTTAATTGGGAGGATATTATATTTATATATTAATTTTATAAGGAATAACAACTTTCTATCAAGCTGTCCTATCCAGAAATATGATGAGTCTCTCCCTTCTTTAAAATCTTTTTTTTATATGCCTCAGTAAACTCCACAGTTTTCTTTAGACAGAGTCTGTGCTTTTTTATTTATTCCTAGGTATTTTATTGTTTAGTCCATATTATAAATGAATGATTTTTTCCATCCATTTCTGAGTGGTTATTGCTACTATAGCAAAAAAGAGCCACTGATTTTGACCTTCTGATCTTGTGATCAGCCATATCCTGTTATTTTTTTAAATTTAGCAATATCTTAGCTTCCTAAGAATTTAATGATATCATCTACAAAAATAAAACAAAACAAAACACCATTTTCTTTTCCAAGTGTTTTTATTTTCATTTATTACATTAAATGTAATAGAACCTCTAATGTAGCCAAAACCTCTAAAATAATGCTGAATAACAGAGGTGACTGTAGTTGTCACAGCCTGGCTTGTTTCTAGCTTTAATGTTCAACATTTCATGAGTTACTGTAATATTTGCTATTACTGTTTTTTGAATTAAGGTTTTTTATTGTGTGTAAGTAATTTCTCTCCATACCTACTTATTAGGAATGCCCTAATTTAATGAATGATTTTTTTTGTCATTTATTACCATATTAATATAGCGTTTCTCATTTGACCTGTGTGTACTATGATGATTTATGTTTGTTAGCTTCCTAACATGGAACAATCAACCCTCTGCATTCCTGCCACTTGAACATGGTGAATTACTCTTTTTGTTATATTGCTGCATTTAATTTTCAAAGTTTTAGAATGTTTTCATCTATATTTTGTAGGTGAAACTAGTCTCTAGTTTTACACATATATTAAAATAGCAGGTTTTAATATTAAGGCCAGGTGAGCTTCATAAAATGAAGAACCTCAAGTACTTTTCTATGGTTTGTATTTTTTAAAACATTACCTCCCAAATGATAGCCACTGTATTAGATTTTAATCTGTTTGGTTCTTAAGCTACATTCTATTTATAAGGCCTCTCAAGGTTGACAAAAGTAAAATACTCCATGGTGTCTCCTGCTAGAACCTATCTTTGTTCACTGTGATGAGTGACTTCTTTAGGGTCTTTGCTAAGATGTGGAGGCTATCTCCTCTAAGCACGGTTCTAACTTCTGCCAGGCCACATCCTCCAGATTTTTTCCTGTATGAACCCAGTTTCACAAATGTTAAAAAATATGTTCTACCCAAGAAATCAAGATATAAAATTTACTTTTGGGTACATTACATTACCTGGTATTTGATGGTCTAACTCTCTTAGCTAGCATCCCATATTATTTCTTTCTCTATTTATAAAATTTTTGACAAAGTGACCCTGAAACACATTCCTTACACAAAAGACAAATTACTAACAAGATATAGACCAGTTTTTATAGGCTCATAAACTTGGAAGGAAAACAAAAACACACATACTTGAAACAAAGAGACAGAATGAAAGAAGAGACAAAGGACACACACATTTGAGTTCTACTCCATTTCAGGCAATGTGTTTTAAATCCGTTACTGCTGTACAGTATGAAGTCAAGCTCAAACGAGTCTTAAATGCCAGTCCTGATGGCAGAGAAGCTGACAGCAAAGGCAAGTGATATCAAGCCTGGACACAGGCTGTGTTATATGCGTTGCCAAGCAATTAATGAATATACGTTGCTCTTATGTGTGGCCAAAGTTAGAATAGCTGTCATCAGCCAAGAAAACACGATAAATCTGTATTAATATGTACACCATCCATGCACAAGCCTCTATGTTTGGCGCTACAGGGGCAACAAACATAAATACAAAACTCTAAAGCTCTCTATGAAGAAAACAGAGTATTTGTACTTACAGGTAGTTTGTGGTTGAATCCTTTCACTCGAATAATTAAACCATGTTCTCCAGCTACCAGCTTATACTCCAGCTGTGCCACATCTGCTTCGTAAGCTGGTTCCGCAAGGTTATGGGTAAGGATATTGACAAAGATATCAAAGAGGACCACACTGAGAGTATAAAATATAAATAGGGTCATTAATTGGCAAGAAAGAGACATGGATATATTTGCTTTGATTTAGAGTAAGAACCTTCACTTTTAGAAATGTGTTAATTCACTAATCCAGAATGTGAAACTGTATAATAATTGAGCCACAGGTAATACCAATCACCCAGGACTCAGTTTCCCAGGGGCATTATACAACTCCTCCCTTCAGCAGTGCTTCCCAATCCTTGTCATGTCAAGTACATGCAGAGAATGATAATATTTATAATGCATGATGGGATAAGTGTAAAAGGCATCAAAGACAACTGGCCTAAAGGCTCTGGCTATATCCTATGGCCTAGGTTTTCTGATCGACACATTAAAAATCTGAGGAAAGGGAGGAGGGAAATGCATTTTTTAAGAGGATATTAATAAATGTTAGTGCTACTTGTCATTTTAAGGTTGGCTTTTACAGTTCAAGTGGCAAAGGAAAGGAAGAAGTACGCTCACATTTTCTTAGCACCTCCCTAGGTTTCAGGCACATTTTAGGCTTTCTGACCTTCCACGGTGCATCTATATAAACATATATGTAATTTACTAACAACAAAACGTAATCAGGTTCCTTAGCAGTATATAGGATCAAGAGTTTCATCAGTCCTTATTGTAGACTGGAAGCTAACCCAAACTCATCTCTAAGGAGCTCTTTCAATCCAGTAGTTCTATGCCTACCCTAACTGCTCAGTCTGCTTTGCAAATGGAGAGGGAGCAGCCACATTCCACTTTAATGTCACTATCGATACAAATAATTTGTTTTGGGCACAAATACATAAATCAGTAGCACAGCTCAAGTACTGACAGAGAAAATGATAGAGTAATTCAGAATGAAAAACATTTTTTCAATAATAAAAAAATATTTTCCAGAAGAGGATGATTGCTTACTTTGCTGCAGACTTCTGTATCAAAGGTGAGATCAGATGAAAACGTATATATGCTGAAACAAAAAAAGACCAAAAGTAAGAAAATTCAGGCCAGAGGCCTCAAATATTTTATACATCGGCTATTCTCCCCTCATACTGTACCTATATGTATGTGTGTGTGTGTGTGTGTGTGTATTTTACAAATTCTGAAAAAAAAACTATTAATCCTTAAATCCTAATTATTCTAAGGGTCCTTTAAAAAGTGATTATTTACCATTCTACATAGTGTACAGAGGGCACACTTTAGTCTACTGAACACCAGATATATAGGAAGATACAGAGAGAAGTCTATGAACACTCATATTCATCAACACGTTTGGTCAGGAAAAATGTTTATAGCATATATGTCAGGAACACTAAGGAAACTATCCAAATGTTCACAGAAAATTATAGCAGACCCTTCCTAAAGAAGCCAAATAAGCGTGAACAGTTCTAGAAACTCTTACAAGCTATTTAAAGAACACCTTCACAATGAACTCAAGAATCCTTCAGAGCTACAGTATGGTTGTGTTGAGTTTAGGGATATGAGTTAAATGGCAACCAAGAGTACTCAGCCTTTGATTCCAAGTTGCTTCTGTAAGTTACTATGCACAGAACAGAAAATAAAGGCAACACAGTTTGGGCTAACACACTGAAGCCAAGAACTTTGGTGTTAACTGTATACTGTGCTTCCTTTATTCTAAAGAGCAAAATGGCAGAGGGAGACAGATGGAAGATTAATGCTAGACTACATCTATTATGTCTAAGAATAATTTCCTGCAGCATACTCTTTTCTCTTTTTAAAAATAATGCTCAAAAAATACCACCTGTTCCCTAAGATAGCGAAACACCTGGATCTGCTTTCATTTAGCTGAGAGGAAAATCCCTGAAAACAACTTCATTTTAGACTCGAATCTTTATTTCCTGGAATCTGTAATGTCTATCAGATCTTTGTGACAGCACAGGAGCATGGCACAGATCGGGCAGATAAGCCTAGGGAAGGCCTTCAAGAGGAAGAGGAAGAGGAAGGAGAAGGGGGGGAGGCGACGGGGAGGCAGGGAAGAAAGGTCGCGATAAAGTAGAGAAGGAGTCGCTATACTTGTTTCACTCCTTTTTGGGAGGGAACATTTTACCTTTAGGGATTTTGAATTTGTTGTCTTTCTTATACCACAGGCAACCTTCTGGCATGTTCACGATTTTAACAGGGTATTCTGTCTCAGGGCAGTCAAAAGCCTTCAACATGAAGTCTGTTGCTAATAAAAGAAAAGAGTATAATTCATTCAGGTATATCAATAGGACTTCCAGCAACCTGTTCTTGGTTTCAGAAATCTAATTAATTTCCTCTTTGTGGCAAAAATAAGCCAAATTCAAATGCTGGAGTGCAGTGAATTAGACAATACTGAAAACGAAATTCTCTTGGCCTAAACACACTGAACTCTGAAGATCTGTAATTTCCCAAGGGTTGATTCTGAATCTCTCCATATTCTGCATCAATCCCTTTCTCAAAAGACGATCTTAACTGTGAGAGGAAATTCTGGTCAGGACAGCTGTATAAATGAATTTACAAACGAATCCATTATGGAACAAGAATATCTTCTACCAACTTTACAGATGTTTGAAAGCTCACAAAATAGTTCTGCTCAAACAAAGTCAAATACGTCCTCTAAGTTAATGAAAATATAAACTGTTTCATCAATATGTAGGTGAGAAACAGCTACATTAAGAAAAACTTAAGAACAAAAAAAGTACTTGATATATTTACTATAAAGAACTGGGTTGTTCAGATACTTGAAGAGTTCAAGATGTTGAATTTGTCTAAAATATGCAAGACTTTTTTAAAAAGCCTTTTTTTCCTAATTGAGGTTAGATTCACATAATATATAATTAACTATTTTACAGTGAACAATTCAGGGACATTTAGTACACTCACAGTGTTGTGTAACCACTACTTCCATAGTTCTGAAACATTTTCATCACCCCAAAAGGAAACCCCCACACCCAGTTAAGCAGTCACTCCCCATTAACCACACCCCCAGCACTGGCAACAATCATCTGTGTCCTAGTTCTACAGATTTACCTATTCTGGATATTTCATATACATGGAATCACATATTATGTGACCCCCCTCTTTCAGCAAAATGTTTTCAAGATTGACCCATGTTGTAGCATGACTGAGTAATACTCCATCATATATATATATATATATACTATAATTTGTTTAACCATTCATTCACTGATGGACATTTGGGCTATTTGAACATTTTGGCTATTGTGAATAATGCTGCTGTGAAAACTCATGTACAGGTATTTATTTGAGGCCATGTTTTCAGTTCTTTTGGGTATATACCTAGGAGTTGAATTGCTGGGGAAAATGGTGTTCTGAGTGAGTAAGTTATATACAACTGTGCATAAGTTTGACCTAGACCAGTGTTTCTCACAAGATGTTTTCCATTGCAAGCTAGTAGTCAGATACACATAAATACCTATCTGGAAAAATAAGTTTTTGAAATAATAACCTTTCTTTATGCAATGAAACATTTTGCTATTTTCCATTTTAATTAATATTTTTAAAGCTTTCATAATTCATTACACTGACCTTACAACCCATTACACTGATTTCACAGCCCTCTAATGGGTTGCAACCTATAATTTGAAAAACACTTGAACAACCAGACAAGATAATGGCAATTCTTATAGAGACTGCTATGAAAGGAATGGCTTTGAAATATAAGAAAAAAAAAATGCTTCCAAGAGTCCCAAGGTCTATGTTTAGGTCCTGTTTCCTCTGTTCACCAACTGAATAGTCTAGGACAGGTCACTTTGCTTTTCAAGCTTCAGTTTTCTCATTGGGACAAGCAAACAGTTATGCCTACTCCAGAGCATTACTGGGAAACTCAAATATGAATCTAAATGATATTCTGTAAAATGTAGTATACTTTACAAATGCTATTAGTTTTTTATCAATATAGTACATGTTAAGGGTCCTTTAAAAAGTGATTATTTACCATTCTACATAGTGTACAGAGGGCACACTTTAGTCTACTGAACACCAGATATATAGGAAGATACAGAGAGAAGTCTATGAACACTCATATTCATCAACACGTTTGGTCAGGAAAAATGTTTATAGCATATATGTCAGGAACACTAAGGAAACTATCCAAATGTTCACAGAAAATTATAGCAGACCCTTCCTAAAGAAGCCAAATAAGCGTGAACAGTTCTAGAAACTCTTACAAGCTATTTAAAGAACACCTTCACAATGAACTCAAGAATCCTTCAGAGCTACAGTATGGTTGTGTTGAGTTTAGGGATATGAGTTAAATGGCAACCAAGAGTACTCAGCCTTTGATTCCAAGTTGCTTCTGTAAGTTACTATGCACAGAACAGAAAATAAAGGCAACACAGTTTGGGCTAACACACTGAAGCCAAGAACTTTGGTGTTAACTGTATACTGTGCTTCCTTTATTCTAAAGAGCAAAATGGCAGAGGGAGACAGATGGAAGATTAATGCTAGACTACATCTATTATGTCTAAGAATAATTTCCTTCAGCATACTCTTTTCTCTTTTTAAAAATAATGCTCAAAAAATACCACCTGTTCCCTAAGATAGCGAAACACCTGGATCTGCTTTCATTTAGCTGAGAGGAAAATCCCTGAAAACAACTTCATTTTAGACTCGAATCTTTATTTCCTGGAATCTGTAATGTCTATCAGATCTTTGTGACAGCACAGGAGCATGGCACAGATCGGGCAGATAAGCCTAGGGAAGGCCTTCAAGAGGAAGAGGAAGAGGAAGGAGAAGGGGGGGAGGCGACGGGGAGGCAGGGAAGAAAGGTCGCGATAAAGTAGAGAAGGAGTCGCTATACTTGTTTCACTCCTTTTTGGGAGGGAACATTTTACCTTTAGGGATTTTGAATTTGTTGTCTTTCTTATACCACAGGCAACCTTCTGGCATGTTCACGATTTTAACAGGGTATTCTGTCTCAGGGCAGTCAAAAGCCTTCAACATGAAGTCTGTTGCTAATAAAAGAAAAGAGTATAATTCATTCAGGTATATCAATAGGACTTCCAGCAACCTGTTCTTGGTTTCAGAAATCTAATTAATTTCCTCTTTGTGGCAAAAATAAGCCAAATTCAAATGCTGGAGTGCAGTGAATTAGACAATACTGAAAACGAAATTCTCTTGGCCTAAACACACTGAACTCTGAAGATCTGTAATTTCCCAAGGGTTGATTCTGAATCTCTCCATATTCTGCATCAATCCCTTTCTCAAAAGACGATCTTAACTGTGAGAGGAAATTCTGGTCAGGACAGCTGTATAAATGAATTTACAAACGAATCCATTATGGAACAAGAATATCTTCTACCAACTTTACAGATGTTTGAAAGCTCACAAAATAGTTCTGCTCAAACAAAGTCAAATACGTCCTCTAAGTTAATGAAAATATAAACTGTTTCATCAATATGTAGGTGAGAAACAGCTACATTAAGAAAAACTTAAGAACAAAAAAAGTACTTGATATATTTACTATAAAGAACTGGGTTGTTCAGATACTTGAAGAGTTCAAGATGTTGAATTTGTCTAAAATATGCAAGACTTTTTTAAAAAGCCTTTTTTTCCTAATTGAGGTTAGATTCACATAATATATAATTAACTATTTTACAGTGAACAATTCAGGGACATTTAGTACACTCACAGTGTTGTGTAACCACTACTTCCATAGTTCTGAAACATTTTCATCACCCCAAAAGGAAACCCCCACACCCAGTTAAGCAGTCACTCCCCATTAACCACACCCCCAGCACTGGCAACAATCATCTGTGTCCTAGTTCTACAGATTTACCTATTCTGGATATTTCATATACATGGAATCACATATTATGTGACCCCCCTCTTTCAGCAAAATGTTTTCAAGATTGACCCATGTTGTAGCATGACTGAGTAATACTCCATCATATATATATATATATATACTATAATTTGTTTAACCATTCATTCACTGATGGACATTTGGGCTATTTGAACATTTTGGCTATTGTGAATAATGCTGCTGTGAAAACTCATGTACAGGTATTTATTTGAGGCCATGTTTTCAGTTCTTTTGGGTATATACCTAGGAGTTGAATTGCTGGGGAAAATGGTGTTCTGAGTGAGTAAGTTATATACAACTGTGCATAAGTTTGACCTAGACCAGTGTTTCTCACAAGATGTTTTCCATTGCAAGCTAGTAGTCAGATACACATAAATACCTATCTGGAAAAATAAGTTTTTGAAATAATAACCTTTCTTTATGCAATGAAACATTTTGCTATTTTCCATTTTAATTAATATTTTTAAAGCTTTCATAATTCATTACACTGACCTTACAACCCATTACACTGATTTCACAGCCCTCTAATGGGTTGCAACCTATAATTTGAAAAACACTTGAACAACCAGACAAGATAATGGCAATTCTTATAGAGACTGCTATGAAAGGAATGGCTTTGAAATATAAGAAAAAAAAAATGCTTCCAAGAGTCCCAAGGTCTATGTTTAGGTCCTGTTTCCTCTGTTCACCAACTGAATAGTCTAGGACAGGTCACTTTGCTTTTCAAGCTTCAGTTTTCTCATTGGGACAAGCAAACAGTTATGCCTACTCCAGAGCATTACTGGGAAACTCAAATATGAATCTAAATGATATTCTGTAAAATGTAGTATACTTTACAAATGCTATTAGTTTTTTATCAATATAGTACATGGATGGATTATGTATAATGATTGCTATTTTACCAACCTATGTACTTGTTTTCAGCTGGAAGATGAAGATCTGGATTTAATTCGAAATTAGTCTTCCACAGTTCAGCCCAAGAGCTTTCAACATCTGCAGTGATGTAAAACAAATTTATTCACTAAATAATGCAATGTTCAGAATTCTCTTAATAACAATCCAGTCAACAACTGGCCTTCACATATCAATTCTCCTTTTTTAGGAAAACTGTAAATGACATATCCAGGCATTGTAGATACTTGCTACTCAAAGTGTGGTCTCAGCAGCACTGGTATCACCTGAGAGCTTTTTAGAAATATAGAATCTCAGGCCCTACCCCAGAGCTACTGAATAAGAGCCTGTATTTTAATAAGATCTCCATGTGACATATGCACACTGAAGTTTGAGAAGTACTTTTCTAAGAACATTCAAAACTCTACCCCCAAAGACAACAGGGTTTGTTCACTAGCTAATAATATAAACATAGCAGAAAATGATTTCTTGCAAAGTAGTATGACAAATTTTCATTTCAAAGTAAACTTCTAAAAAATGATATACTTTTTTCCCCACAGAAACCATCAGACAAAGTATTAAGGAATAGAAATTCCCAGGTGCGTCCAATATGCCTAAATGTAAGACAGTTGTTAAAATACTTTACCTTCCACACTATACTGAGTCCCAAACCATTTCTCCTTGAGGTCACATTTTCCTTCATTAGCACCAGACAGCAGAACGAGATTTGCTTTTTGAGGAACTAGCTGATTAAGGGCTTCAGCAATGACCTAATTTGGGGGATGGGGGTGTGGGGGTGGGGGGCAGGAAGACATATATCTGTTAAATATATCTGTTATATTTATCTGTTAAATAGTTAAACCACATTATGTGAGACAACCCCAAGATTCTAGCATCTAGATGCTCATGAAACTATCTATAGTCCATGAATACCTTAATTTAGAAACTGTCATTCCTCTATCAATTGTTTCAATGTTTCCTGATAATGCTATAAACAGTGCTCATCTCAAATCCTACAGAGTAATAACAGTATTAGCAGCAGAAAACAGCTCATTTACTATGCTTTTACTATGTTCCAGATAGTGTTTAATATGTTATTTCATTTAATCCTAAAAACAACCTTAAGGTATACCCCGTTTATAGAATACTTGGCCTCAGAGGTTAAAGGTTAAGTAGTTTGCTCAGGTTAAATAATATGTAATCTGCAAAGAACAACACAACTAGAGGTAGCAAAAATGAAGTCCTAACCAAGTTTGTACGTGATTCCAAAGACTTATGCTCTTAACCACTAGATACTATACCACACCTCATACCCAAGAATCAATATAATAATCCTAGTAT